TTGTAAGTATGTGTGTATATATATATATATATATATATATATGTATGTATGTAAAAATAAAAGTCAGGACTCTTGCAAGTCACATATACCATTGCATTGGTCCAACACACACACACACACATACAACCTTTTGTGTTAGAACTCCATGAGAAGATGCAATCCTTTGAAAGTGGGCTAAGGATGGCACTTAGTGGCTGATGATGCCTCAGCAGGTACCTTTCCTACCATTGCATACATATCTTGACTCTGCTTGGGCATCCACTAATTGGCTGGGTTGTGACTCCCTAGCCATTTTTGATATGGATGACTCTTGCTACTGCATTTGGAGTATGTCTTTTTTTAATATGTGTCTGGGCTTTTCTCTTGAGAAGTTTTTACTGCAGGAGCAGGATTTAATATTCCTCCTAGATGTTTGTGCCACTGTTGATTCTACTTGCTGTGCACTATGCACTATTACCACTCACAAAATCAATTGCTGTTCACTATCAACAAGATCATCATTAGCAAAGAGATAATATGATGAGAAGAATGCTTTCTTTTTGAGTGTCTTATAGGTCGTATTTTTTTCTATAAGGCTGGTTCACTCCATTCATTCTTCCTGGGCTGCATTTCTAAGAATTTTTCTTTTTATTGTCTACATATCTTCCTCTCTTGTAACTGTGGTTCATTGGTTTCCTACTTTTTTACAGTGTGGGTATTTTGGCTTTCATTATATCATAGGTAAGTCTGCTTGAATTGAATTTAACATTTTCAGTAATTAAATTAATTTCAATCTTTTCTCCCACCTCCCCACAACCAAAATTTCATTGCAACTGGAATTTCTGATAAAAATCTGGATGGAAAGCAGATCTCTAATGTTTGTGCACTAAGTCATTTCAAGTTAGAAGGGTGGAGAACTATGTATCGTGGATACCTTGCAGTGCACAAAGAACATCTAGAAAGTTTTAGTTACATGTTTTGTTGACAGCATGAATTCAAACTCTACAAGGAAAGGCTTTAATACTTGTTTGAAATTCATTTTAATTCTAAAAATGTAAACGTTTTTGCTATTCTAAACAGCTTTTTGGCTGAATAATTCACAAGAATAAAAATATTATCATCAGTGCTGCATATTTTTGAAAATCCTTTATAAATATAGGACCACTGTTCGAGTAAATGACATTTCAAAACACCATTCATATGATATGCACTCCACCATAATATGAAGCCTATCCTTATACTTTCAATTTGCCCATGTCTATGATTACTGATGAGGTGTGGAATTCCTCCAAACTAATATAATTTGGTAACACTTGGTAAATGGAATGATAGATTGGGTTTCACCTTTATTATTTAATAAAAGTTATGGAAATCATGGTTACCACAATCTTTTGTTTTTTTATGTACAAGTGGAATCCAGAATAACATTGACTAAATGTAGACACATATATTTCAAGTGGCGGACCATAATAATCAATGAATCCAAAACATTTAGAGACAGAGTTTTCCAATTCCAATAGGTGTTAATAGTTGTGGACATGCTACTATATGTTATATATGAAATATTCTTTGTACAGTAATTGAAAGGCTACAAAAGAGCCTTATGACAAGTGTGGTAAGACCAATCTTTGGGGAATTGCCTGATATTTTCTGCATTCCAATGA